GGGCCCGGTCCAAGATGGCGGCGGCGGAGGAGGCCTCCCCTCCGCTCTTCTCGTCTCTGGCGCCGGCCCGCCCCCAAGCCCCGAATAGAGCCCTACCATTGCTCCTGCTGCACGTCGCTCCTGCCGGTCGGGCGCGTGCGATTGGTCTTTGGCAGGGATGTGTTCGGCCCCCTCCCACCGATTGGACAATTGCTTCAAGGCGCGGCGTTCGATTGGCCTCCCGCGCAGGCTACTAGGATTGGCTCAGGTTTTGTTCCCCGTCCCTCCTCCTCCTCCCGCCTCAAGGCACAACACGCCAGCGCTAGGGCCCGCGCGTCAATCAAGAGGCTGGTGTCATGCTGATTGGACACACCCGCCCCCCCTTTCCTAAACCAATTGGCAGGGGGGCGGAGCTAGGCTGATCAGGGGAGGGAAGTCGTCCGTCAAGTTTAGAACCATTTTTAATTGGTTGGGAGGGAATATTCCATCCCGAAGCCATTGGTTGGTCCTGGAAGTGGGAAGGGAAAGTGGAGGAAGGCATGTTGAGTGGGAGTTAAAGACCGAGTACCTAATGGGATACAGACAGGTGCCTTCAAAGCTGAAGTCACCTGCCAATCAAAACATCCCCTGGGCCAATGGGGAGGAGCTGAGCGACAGGGCCCACCTCTTTCCCCTCGTTGGCCCTGACTGTTATCACTCATGCCAGTCTGTCCAATAGTGTAGCGAGGGGGAGGTACCTGCACCTGCAGCGTGTGAAACTGGGCGTAGCAGGCAGACCTGGGGACTGGGGCGCATCCCTCTCTATCCCCAGCGTCCGGGCTGTTGCTCCGCAGCACGGTCCGTCTCCAGGTGCCTGTGCTGGGCACGAGACAGCGCCCCAAGTCACTGGCACCGCGCGAAGCTGCATTAGTGGGGAAGCGCCGCGGAGGCATGGAGTTTTGTCCTGCCTCTGAGGGCTACGTGGCTGTTCCTCTCCTCTGCAACCTCGTTTCCTCGGTGCAGAAGGTGCAGGTGAGATTAGGTTTACCCTCCCACGGTTGCCACCTGATGCCTGTTGCTCCTTAATATCTCAGCTCTGTGCTCTACTGTTGGGAGGAAAACTTCCCTGACATCCCACACCAAGGGCTAAGGTGAGAGCCCTGTTGGTTCGTTCGGATGGACGCTTGCACATCTGACGACGTTTTCATTATTCAACCCTCTCCTTATGGATTTTGCATCCCAGGAGGCACTGAGTTAACGCTTTGCTAAATGGATGAATGAATGCAAGGAATGACTGTGGTTAAGACTTGCTAACAGTGGAGCTCAACCTGTGGGTCGCGACCCCTTTGGCGGTCGAACGACCCTTTCACGGGGGCCGCCTAAGACTAGCCTGCATATCAGATATTTACATGATGATTCATAACAGTAGCAGCATTACAGTGATGAAGTAGCAACGAAAATAATTGTATGGTTGGGTCACAACATGAGGAACTGTATTTAAAGGGCCAGAAGGTTGAGAACCACTGCTTGCTAAGCACGGGTGTTTCCATGAGCCTCCAGGATCACACCCATCAAGATGGGAAGCCAGAGTCACCCATTATCTCCAGGTGGAGGAAGGTCAGATAAAAGCGAGTGAGAACTGATCAGTCACCTGTGACAAGGGAGCTAAGAATGCTTGTGGAAATGCAAGGTTGCCCTGGCCAGTGTGCTCAAAGGTTAGAGAGTCGTCCCGTGCACCGAAGGGTCATGGGTTTGACTCCAGGGCAGGGCACATACCCAGGTTTCGAACTCAATCCCAGGTTGGGACGCATGTGTGAGGCAACTGATTGGTTTCTCACATCAGTGTTTCTCTCTCCCTTCCTGTCTGTCTAAAATCAATGAACAACATATCCTCAACTGAGGATTAACAAGAAAAAAAGCCATGCTCTTAGGGCCACACAGCCTCAGATTTGTACTTCTACAGACTTGCCAGGTGATCCCGGTGCTCATTGGAGTTTGAGTTTTGCTGTGGGGATTTGCTATTCAAAGTGCCCCCTGCACGGGGACTTCCCAGGAATCGCTTGGGGGGAAGGGGGGGAATGGTTAAAATGCGATCCTGATCCAGGTCCCAGGTTCTGCTTCTCTAACAAGTTCCCAGGTGAACGGAGTGTCCACAGTCCCCACGTCGAAGAGCAAAGACCCAGAGCACTGGATCTCAAACGTGGCTGCACCTAGAACCACCTGGTGGCCTTCTAAAAACCCAGTCAGGCCGCACCGTAACCAGTGGAATAAAAATAAATAAATCTGGGGCCCGGCGGGTGCTGCTTAGTGGTTGAGTGACAACCAGGAGGTCCTGGTTAGATACCTGGTCGGGCACATGCCTGGGTTGTGGGCTCGACCCCCAGTGTGAGGCGTGCGGGAGGCAGCCGATGGATGATTCTCTCATAGTTGATGTTTCTCTCTCTTTCCTTCTCCCTTCCTCTCTCTGAGAGCAATAAAAACATGTTAAAATATAAGTCTGGGGGTCAGAACCAGGTAGCAGGAATTGTAAAACTTCTGAGATGATCCCAACATGCATTAACTTTCTGGAGCAGTGGCTGCGAGTGTGGCCCCTAAACAGCAGCGTAGACATCACCTGGGACCTTGTTAGAAACGCAGTGTTGAGCCCAGGACAGACCAACGGAATCCCAAGCTCTGGGCCCAGCAGCCTGTTTTCATCAAACCTTGCAGGCAGAGTGAGCTTTGAGGATCTTTGTTGTAAGTGTACACAGGACGCAGGCAGGCAACTGGATTCTGTCCGGAGACCTGCCCCCCGACACACACACACCATTAGAGTCCCTCTGGCCAGGGGAGACGGGATTCCGAGGGTCGTGCCCAGAGGGACAGAGGGCCCTTCCCAGCAGAGCCCCAAGCAGACCAGCCAGGGCTGTCACTTTTACTCACACAGGACTTGGGCTCAAGCATAAACTTGGGGAAGAGCTGTGTGACCGGGGTACTCTGGCCGTAGAAGGAAGCTCCCAGGTGGAGGAGATTCAGAGCTCCGGGGTCCGTGGGAGGCACTGGGGTCCAGGGACACACACCGAGCCCCGAGTGGGGTGGGGCAGCCCTGAGTGGGGTGGAGCGGCCCAGAGAGGAACAGACAGGAAGTGAGAGACCCGGCAAGAAGGCTGCTGGAGAAGCCTGGACGGCCCAAGCCACTCCCGGGAGGCCTTCCCACACCCGCCTTTCAGCCTCTCCTTCCAACCCAGGGCACAGGCCTTGGACGGCCCACCTCCCCCCAGGCTGGGGGCTCCTCTCGCACCTGGTGAGCTGAGCTTGGCACAGCAGCGGGAGCTCCAGCAGATGGTATAACACAGTGCCAGTCCCCGGGCAGGGCCATCCTGTGCCCAGTGCCTCCTGGCATCCGGTGGTGTTTGGTGACCTCCCAGGTGGCCCACATGGGAGCTGGGCTTCCGCAGGCTCCTTGCTTGGGTGCGAAATGACAGGTGCCCCAAGGCGTGTGGGACGGAGGGGGTGCTCCTCTTCCCGGGATCCATGATGGGGACTGACTGGGCCGGGAGCCCACCCGGATCGGGGGCCCAGGCTCTGTCCCCCAAACCTGGTCGCTCTGACTCCAGTGCTTGACAATCAAATTCAGACAATGTGCTTTTAATCACACTTTTCCCAAAAGTATCTCCTTTCCCAGTTAAAATACCAAAAACGAGGTGTGGTGGGGACCGCTCTGCCAACTGGGGCGGCAATCTCGGTGCGGGGCCTGCGCACCCCTCTGGACAGTCCGGGCACTGGGCACTGGCGGGCTCCCCCCGTCGGAGCCCCCAGCCCTGGCCCCTTGGGAGCACAGGGCCTCCACGTCTGCCGTGGCGGCCACCCAGGGTGCGCCCTCAGGTGGACATGATGCCGTTCTTCTCGCCCTTGACCTTGAGGAACTCGGCCATGCTGGAGAAGTACTTCTGGTTGGCCTCGGCCACCTTCTTCTCGGCCGCTTGTGGGTTCACAATCTCCAGGCCCTGGGTAGGCGAGGGGGACGGACAACTGGGTGAGATGGCCTGGCCCCTTGACATCAGCCCCCCAACCCCCCGCCGACACACACACACACACGCGCGCACACACA